ACCGAAGGGGATGAGGGCCACAGAGTCCCTGGATGGTGCCCAGGGCTGGCTGTGACAGGGGCCTTCTTAGGTAACCCCCGGTGTGTCCTTTTGCCCCCCCTGCCTCAACATAGAAGCCATCTCTGGCAGACACTCAGTCCGGGAGCTGGAGTCCAGCGCTACAACTGGGGAAATGTAGCTATGAAGCAATCCCTACACGATGAAGCCCTCACTGCATTGAGATCCCTGGCTTGTGTGCCTCTAGTTCATACGCCCTGGAGCCATCTTTTCATCCTTGAACATTCTCATACTCTTCTCTGTCTAGTTCATAACCCCTGGAGCCGTTTTTTCATCCTTGAACATTCTCACATTCTTCTCTGTTTAGAGATCATCAGTCATTTCTCATGGCCCTCGAAATTAAGTCCAGAATCCTTCTAATGGTATAGAGAGCTCTTGGGGGCTTGGCCCCTGCCGACCTCTTCGTAGCTCACCATTGCTGTTGCCCGGCTCCTACTTTGGCCCTCCCTCAGGCCACGTGCTAATTAATCTCTTTTGCAAACAAGTTCTTGCCTCGTGCCTCTGTTTTCACCTTTCTGGTCTCAGTCTAGCTGTCGCTTCCACCCTTGGCACCAGAGCTGCAGCATCTGGGGCCTTGATCACCACTGGTCACAGTGAGCCTTTTCTTAAAAAAAAAAAAAAAAAAAAATCCTGTCGATCTTTATTTCTGTCCAGAGTCAAAGCTTCTGCAAGGCAGGAACTGTTTTTCATTCAGTGCTGATCCGCAGGTGCCTAGCATGGGGCCTGGCTCCTAGAGGGTGCTTAATACAAAGTTGTTGAAGGGAGGAAGGAGAGAAATTGCAGGAAAAGCTACATTTCCCAATGTTGGCAGGTGAGAATTGGCTCAAAAGGGATCTACAGTTGCATTCTGCAGTCATCATTCCAGAACAGCTACCCTGGAGCACTGTGTGGTAAGGCCGCATCCCTCGGCCAGCCCTGGTCATTGGCAGACGCAGAAAGTTTCCATGATCCCTGGGGAGCAGTGTGCTTGCTCCACAGTCAGAAGGGGTGAGGTGAGGCCCTCCCTTCTTTCCTTAGCCAAGAGGTCATAGCGTGTTTAGAAGGGGCAGAGGTGGGATGGGATGGGGTATGATTAGTGCTTAGTTCCCAGTACACTTGGCTTTGAGGTGATCCATGGAGAGAGAGAGGGAGTCGAGGAGTGCAGAGTATGAGTGGGCAGAGAAGTGTAACAGCTTCTCCTTGTAAATGTCCTACAGGCCTCCCAGCCACCAACTAATTCTCCTGGGGGTCAGGTTTTCTATGGAATGGTCTATGCCATCCTGAACTGTGAGGCTGCATTACTTTTGGTCTTGGGCCAAATTATACTGTTGATTTCTAGGTAAGTTTCAAAGAGTGGGGTCAGAGTTCGCAGATGTTTATTATCCCAGACACCTGGAGAGTCTGCCAGGGATGGTGCAGGTTGGGGCCCAGGGACCCAAGCAGTCCCCATCAGAGGTCACCCACCACAGCCTCTGTCTGGAGGGGTTGGGTGCGTGGGTGTGGGCAGCATAGCCTGGCAGTGCTATGACCATTGCTGTTCCCAGGACGAAGTGACATCCAACCCTGGCACATGAGTGATACTCTTGGTGTAGCCAAGACAAACTAGTTATGTGTATTAGCTAGGCGTTGTGTTCTCAGGCACTGTGGCAAGCATGCTCACACATTAATTTAACATAGGCTCAAACAACCTTATGACGTAGGTAAGAGTAATGGTACCACTTAATAGATGAGGACACTGCCCTGGGTTTCAGAGAGGCTTGAGTAACCTGCCCAAGGTCACCCATTGAACAAATCCCTGAGCTGTGATTTTATTTTTATTTTTTAGAAGATTTTATTTATTTGAGAGAGAGAGAAGGCAAGAGAGAGCGTGAACAGGGGGGAGCGGCAGAGGTAGAGGGAGAAGCAGAGTCCCCATTGAGCAAGGAGCCCGATGCGAGGCTCGATCCCAGGACCCTGAGATCATGACCTGAGCTGAAGGCAGATGCTTAACCGACTGAGCCACCCAGATGTCCACCTGAGCTGTGATTTTAGTCTTTGCTCTTGATTACTGCTCCAAACAAGCCCCCCAACATTCCAGATGCTTGGGGCACAAAGGTCAGCATTCAGTGTCAGTTTGGGTCTTCCAGGAGGCAGAAGTACAAGCGATTTCCTGGAAGAAATGCCCATGAAGGATAAAGGGGAGAAGGAGCAGGAGAAGGTGGGGGGAGTCTTCAGATGAGGTGCAGGCCTGACACCCATGAAGGGAGGGGGGGAAGGAAGGGTCATTGGGAGGAAGAGCCTGCTACTGGAGCATAGCTCAGGGAGAGTCTTGCTCCGGCTGATGGGAAGCCCTGAGCAGTGACTGCTCACTAGAGGAGTCCCACACTGGGTAGAATGGCAGCTTCCATAGCCTCGTGCTCATAGAACCTTCTGTGCTCTGAGTCAGGGGCACTGGGTTCTGTACCCTCTGTGCCTGAAGCAGCTGGGGCAGAACACGCTTCCGCGGTGGATCCTGAGCAGCAGCTGGGGGCTGTCAGCTCTGGACACTGTTCCTTGCAGCAGAGTCTCTCTTGAGGGAGGCTCGAGCAGCGCGCTCCCACGGTTGCCACAAGCTTTACCCTCGAGCCCTTCACAGCCTGTTTACTAATACACTGTAGCATCTGGGCAGGTGTTATGAAAGCTCAAAGGTGGATATCCCGTGCAGCCTCCTGGGATAGCGATGATTTCCTGACAGGATGGAGCAGGTTGCACACTGAATAAAGGGACCCTGCCAAGGGGGCTGGTTGTGAGCAGGAGGGGTTGAAATGTGGAAATGTGAGCTTGGCCATTTCGGCCCAGAGAGGCACCCTTTTCAAAGTCCACCACTCAGAGGGACATCTGTTTCTCACTTGCACAAAGGTAGAGTGTAGGTGGCCAGCAGCATGGGCTTCCCAGGAGAGAAGAGGAGGATTCAGGGTTAGCTGGGACAAAGGGGGCCGGGGACGGGCATGAAACTTCTGCACAAGGGGGCTTGTGGGAAGGAGCAGCAATGGTGCACAAGGTGAGTGAGTGAATGAGCCTAGAGAGGTGGGTGGGTGGGGTCCCAGAGCCCTGTGTCTGTCATTCCCAAGCCTGGAGTCTGCCAGAGTCCAAGGAGGCTATTCAAAGGTGTTAGATGGCAGACACATGACATTGTCCTTTTGGTGTTATTGGTCGCTTTCAGATATTAAAAAGTTGAGTCCTATTCAAGTTTGACTGTTCAGGCTCCTGCCCAATGCAACAATTCTCTCCTCCCCAATTTCCAGTCTGGTCTGGGCTTTAGCTTGAGGTGGGCAGAGTGGAGATGGGGGTGACATTTTCTGGTCCTTTTTCCTCCCGGCCCTTGGCTCTACTCTGTCTCCTCTTACTTTTCTCCCTGCCCCAGCCACCTTTAGGGTCTAGGTCTTCTGGCACTGGGGCAGGGAGGTGGGTGAGAGACAGTGCTGAGTCTTCTGACAGATTCCAGGTGGCCATTTTGGTCCTCTTTTGGCTGTCACTGCTTCCCTGGCTGAAGGCACTAACATCCTCCCGGTGCTTCCTCCTGCCTACGTGGGAATTGTGCGCGATTCTTCAGGTGTTCTGTGGTAGAAGGGCTCCCCACTTCCTTCCCCCTCCCCTCTCCCTAGTTTCCTACTTACATAGCCTGGCTGGGGAGAGGGTGGCTCACTTGATTTCCTCTTGATAAGTCTGGGCAAGGAGGACGGAGGTGACCCCCAGTTGTGTTGGCTGTCTTTAAAAGGGGGACATGTGACAGTGTGGTGGCCTCTATGTCCTCTGCTTTGGGCATAAGGAAAGTCCTGCCGCACCTCCTGTAAATAGGAGAGCAATGGCAGGGGCTTGGGGGGGGAGCAGGGAGTACATACAGGAAAGCTTGAGAAAGGCACCAGGGTGCAGCAGGGGAGAGGTCACAAATGTGAGTACCTCTCGGGGTCACAGGGACCAACAGCCCGGCTACCTTCTACCCCTTTGCTATGTGACCGTCAGTAAAGATCCCATGGAGTGTATGCACAGGGGAAGTGGGTGTGTGAAAAGGACCATGCGTTTCTCTTCTCTCCCCAAATACGATGATAACAGTAGCCAACATTTCCACAGTGTTTCTCAGTTTATGAAATGCTTTCAAATTCTTTAGCTGACTTGAAAGTCGTAATGTGCCCTTGATGTAGATGGATTAAGATGCTCACTTAAACGTCAGAGGACATTGGAGAAGTCGAGGAGTTGGCTGAGCATCACGGGGCCCAGACGAAGGCAGGTTGAGCAGGTCACCTAGGCCTTCTGGCTCCCACCCTCTTCCCGCTGCCCTGCCCTGCGAGACTGGTCCCTCCACACATGGCTTCCTATGCTCTATCCAGAGGACAGCAGCTCCCAAAAAGCCCTTCTGGGGATTGCCACTGACAAGTAATCAGTAACTTCAGGGCTGGACCCGACCTCCATACTGTGGTGAAACCACATCCTCGTGAAGGACCGCAGAACCTGAGAAAATTTTGTCCTTTTAGCTGGTTTCCCAATGCCCACAGGTGGGCTTCTTAAGAGGACCTACTGTTTTCAGGTGCTCATTCATGGGTACCAGCAAGATAACTGGGGTAGTAATCTTGAGTCACTCTGCTGTTGTCATTAAAGCAGGACTCTTAAGGCTCTCCATGGGGCAGTGCTTGCTGACTTGTATTTGTAATCGATAGATGCTCTAATTCTGGCTCATTGCTAATTCTTTGCTTACCCAATTAATCCAAATTAGTGTGGCTTAATTTGGAGGAAAGCGTGCTAAACTCAGGTGCTAGTAGAAACTCTGCCCCCAGGCTCACAGCTGGTTGCTCTGGGTGGAATGAGGTAAGTAAGTGCTGGACAGCTCCTGAGGCCCCCTCTTTCCTGACACCATGGAAGGAGGATGAGGGGCGGGGGTGAGTCAGGGAGAGTGGCAGGGGAAAGGTTTGCTGAACCTACGGACTTATTTTTTTTCTTTTTTAAACCAGGAATTATTAGCCGAGAAGATGCAGAAGATCTCCTCGAGAACATGACGGAGGGAGCATTTTTGGTCCGGGTCAGTGAGAAAATCTGGGGCTACACCCTCTCCTATCGCCTGCAGAAAGGGTTCAAGCACTTTCTTGTGGACGCCTCTGGGGATTTTTACAGCTTCCTGGGAGTGGACCCCAATCGCCATGCAACGCTCACCGATCTCATTGATTTCCACAAGGTATCCTTCACAGAGTTGCTGGTCAGGAGGTAGGACTGGGAGAAACTTGAGGTGAAGGAGCGCCAGGCTGCAGGTATTCTAAGAGATGGGGTGGAGAGAGAGCAGGCAGCCCCAGAAGGTCTGCAGGATCACAGGGATATGGGACATCGGGGTGGGAGAGAGCAGAGATGGTCTAGACAGGCTCTGGGGCCTGCTGTTCTTCTCTCTGGCTTACCCTCTGACTAATGCAGGCCCCTCCAGCCCTGGTCCCTAAGCCTCTTCTCACCTCAAGTATCCGAGTTCTCCCTATGGTCAACACTTAGGGACTAGTTGATGCACCTTCCGTCCAAGCCCGCAGCTTACCTGCGACACATCCCCAGGATGTCCTGCTTGAGGACGTTCTAGCCGGGCCTCTGGCAGCTTTGTAGAGTTAGCTGAAACCTAGCTGTCAACCCTGTGGCTTGAGAAGCTTTTCTAGTAGAGTTACCATGCCTCTTGTTCCAACTACAAGGATACATACGTGTGTGGTACGTGTGTGACTTTGGGCAGGTTCCTTAGTCTCACTGAACTTTACCATCCTAACCAGGCAAATGGATGTAAATAATAGTTCAGATCCCATGACTGTTAAATGAAGAAATGTCCATAACAGCACTCTGTAACTGTGAAGTGGTGTGGAAGTTCTTGTTTTCCAGAACTCTCTTTGTTATTTGTCCCCCTACTGTAGACCTCTCATGAGGAAAGATGTTGCCTTCCAAACGATATATGTAGAGAGAAGCAACTTCTGTGTTAATGTGACTGTCAGCACAGTAGTAACTGGGAGAAAGCCAAAGGTGGAACTCGGTGAGCCACAAGGGTGGGAGAGGGATTCCGAGAGACAGAGTCGTGGTCGCTCCCCATCTACCTGAGCTTTGCAGCTGTAGCAAGGTTCACAGACTCACATCTCACTGGGTTTTTGCTGTAATAGGAACTCTTGGATTGGTTTTGTTTTTTCTTCATGGATGTCCCCAGGGCTCTAGGGACAGCTCTTGACTTGACCTTCTAAGTAAAGCACATAGAAAATTACCTATTTACAAATACCTAGACGCTGGGTGGACAGGACTCCTGGAAAACTGGACTAACCAGGTTCAGGGCAGTTTTCTACCCGTGTTGGGAAGAGCTTTCTAACAACTCTAGGAAAGAGAAAGGGAGGGCATGTGTGGATATTGGCACCTTCTCTGTGTCAGGCATGATGCCTAGTGCTGTCCATCCATGTTCTCGCTTCCTCGTCATGATAGCTCCGTGAGGGAGGTAGACTAGTCCCATTTCACAGATCAGGAGACCAAAGCCAGGGAGCTTGAATAGCTTCCCTAAGTTTTCATGGCTGGCACCACGAGGTCTGAGAGTTAATCCTCAGGCCGTCTGCCTCTAAAGATTGGGCTTTTTCCTCTCTACCATGATATTTGGTTTCCCTGCCCACTATAAGCTGCTTTGAGCAGTGATGAGCTGCTTGTCCCAGGAAGTGTTCAAACACAGGAAAAAAGTCCATCTCTCAGAGAAGCTATGCTATTGTTCTTGCATTGGAAGGTTAGAACAGATGTCTTTGAAGGTCTTTATTCTCTTCCAAATCTAGGGTTGGAGACTTCCAATGTAGTTTCTTACACTGAAGAAGGGGTTCATCTATGCCCATGTGGAGATCTGGTGGTCAGTGTATAGAAATTAAAGTTTTAATTACACAATTAATTTATGATTATGTTCTAAGAATAATGAAGTACAATACAAGGTGAATGCCTTGTCCATTTCAAATCTCCATTTCCATCCTCCACCTTAAAGTATTCGTTTGCCATGTACCTATCCAAATATTTCCTGGGCATTAACACAGAAATTTATGTACCTAAGGAAGTACATAGTTTTGTTATTTTCTACATAAACCAGACAATGCTTTTTTTTTCTTCTAATTATAAATTTAATGCAGGGGCACCTGGGTGGCTCAGTCGTTAAGCGTCTGCCTTCAGCTCAGGTCATGATCCCAGGGTCCTGGGATCGAGCCCCGCATCGGGCTCCCTGCTCGGCAGGAAGCCTGCTTCTCCCTCTTCCGCTCCCCCTGCTTGTGTTCCCTCTCTTGCTGTCTCTCTCTCTCTGTCAAATAAATAAATAAAATCTTTAAAAAAAAATTTAATGCAATTCTCTACCCAACAAATATACCAATAGGATAGAGATTTTTTTAAAAAAAAAGATAGGATTTTCCAGAAAAAACTGAAATGTACCAGTTTATCCAGGGAAATTCTAAAAAATAAGGATAGTGGGGTGAGATTAAACTGGACAATTCTGTACCAATAGCTCAGCAATTTGATTTTTTAGCAGGATCAAGATAGCATATGGTGTTTTTTTTCAAAGCATGGTCGCTGGAAGTGGGCTGCTGAATTTTAAATCCCAACTTCATTACTGTGAGTGACTTTGGGCAAACTACTGAAATTTTTGTGCTTTGGTTTTCTCATCAGTAAGATGGCTTTCAAAATAGCACTCCCCTCCTTAGGGTCCCTGGGAGGTTTCATTGAGATATCACTGTGTAAAGTCCTGAAACAGTACAGCTAACATTTGTAAGTTATCAGGACGTTGGCTGTTACTGAAATGCTTGTATTGAGTACATGTACCAACCACATCCGTACGCGTGCCCCATGGTTTTTCTTGATGGCCACTTACATGGCTTCCAGGTTTACATGATCACAAACGGGGCCCCAGAGCTTTGCTTGTCTAGGTCCCTTTGGGCACAGTATTTCTCTAGGATGGATCCGTCGTACTGGAATTGCTGGATAGAAGATGATGCACATTTTAATTTGAAAAGATCTGCCAGATTGCCCTCCAAAAACATAGTGCCAGTTTGTGCTTCTGCCAAAACTGATGAGGCTTTTTCCCCACACTGTTGCCAACACTGGGGATTATCAGTCATTTTAATTTTTTCCCATCAGACGGGCAGATGCTCTATCTCACTGTTGTTTAGCTTGCATTTCTCCAATTACTACTGACACAGAGGATCTTTTTATATGTTTAATGGCCACTTGGATTTCCTCTGTGGATTGTTCGTTCCTGTCCTTTGTCCATTTTCTACTTAGATGTCTCCTTTCTTACTGACTTGTCAGTTCTTCCAGCAATTAAATTGAGCTTTAGTTATGTCTATCCTGCTTCTCAGGTCTTCTTTTGAAATTTTTATTTTTATTTAATGGGCACTCTTTTCATTTGCAGCTTCTTTAATTAAAAAAAATAATAGCCCATTATTTTTTTTTAAGATTTATTTATTTTGAGGGAGGGAGAGAGAGAGAGAGTGAGCACGAGTGGAGGGGTGCAGAGGGAGAGGGAGAGAGAATCCCAAGCAGAGTCCGCACTGAGTGTGGAGCCTGACACGGGGCTCGATCTCATGACCCTGAGATCATGACCCGAGCCGAAACCAAGAGTCCGATGCTTAATGGGCTGCACCACCCAGATGCCCCATAAATAATAGCCTATTCTTATTTCATGAATGATTTATCTTCCTATTCCATTGAGGAGACGCATACCCATCCCTGAAAAGCTCTTTCAGTTTGTTTTATAAACTTGATATTTTCTTGGGGGTCAGTTCTATTGTTGAGTTGGCATCTTTCTTTTATGGGTATGATTTTCCTTAAGTATGTATACATTTTGAGTTATGAGGTGGTGTCTGAACTTTGAAATTCCTATTTATCCATCAGTGGATACAGTCCCTGTTTCCCGAATCCATTCTCTCCATGCTGTAAGGGTTGGAGTTGACAGCCCTAAAGACAGCTCATCTTTTGGGCATGGGAATGTATGAGCTTTTGTGGACTCTTTGGCCTCCCAACGAAGGGCAGTGCCTCTCCTCACTTCCCATCTGCCCGAGGCAAAGACCTCTACTGTCTAGGGCTCCCCAGCCTGTCCCTCCGATACTTGCTCCAGCCCCTGCCTCACCTTCACTCCTCTGACCATCTCATCCTGTAGGTCTTTTGGTTTTCAAGTATTCTTTAACATTTGGCTTTGTTGATGGCCTTCCTTCTTATTTTCCCATATTGGATTTATTTCCATTTTCCCAATATGGCTCTATTTCTTTTTTAAACGCAGATGTTTTTTCTGTCATTTCTATAAATTTGAGTGAGGAGGAGGCAGATACATATTCATAGACTTTCTATCTTGAACTGGCCTCTCTCTGGTGGATGTTTATTTCCCTTGCTTGGTTATAAGTAATTCTTCCTTTTTGTTTCTCCTTTTAGGAGGAAATTATCACTGTTTCAGGGGGAGAGCTGCTGCAGGAACCCTGTGGACAGAGGGACAGCCCACCAGACTACCATCTGTTGTTTGAATGATTCCTTCCCCTCTCTCCCTTATCAATTGGACTTCTTTGGGCATCCAGTTTTTGAACTCAACTTAAGAACTTCCCAGCTCAAATCCTTATGGCCTTCTGGAAGATCTACCACCATCCAGAGGATTAAGTAGATTAGTATGTCTCAAGGGATATGAAATATATGTGCTATTGGTCCCCGTCCCAATGCCCAGGACAGAAATTGCTAATAGCTGATGCAACTCTTTCATGAAGAGTTTAGTTATGACTTCATGAAGCCTATTTGCCATGGCCACCCTAAGCTGAGCCCCTAGAGCACATGGGTCATGTTTTAATAATCCAAAATAATTCCAGTGCCGAACTCTGAATTTAACTTATGGTAGACATTTAATAAATGTTTGTTGAATGAATGCAATTCTTCTGAAAGTCTTCCAACACTAATCAGCAATGTTTTCTAGTAAGTTATTTCCTACCTGTTCTGTCTATAAAGTCATGGAGAGTATAGAAGAAATATTGCAAAGGATTTTATATGGAAAATATAGATGCTACATCTTTAATGATGTACATTATTGCCCTCATTGATTTTATCATTGGAATAATTACCTAAGGCTTCTGAGACCCAGCTTCCAGAATAGGCGGCTGATACTGCCCTGCCTTCTATATTTGCCTCTTCTTCTGCCACCCATCCTTGGTCTTGGAAGCATATCTTGACCCTGGTTTTGCAATATTGAGTCAGTGGTTTCATTTATTTGCATAGATGTGCCCAAAACCTGGGATGAATTATAAATTCAAGAAAGCCTTTGCTCTCTAGGAGTTTACCCTCTTGATGTAGGTTGCCCAAATGATTACTTCTGCCTTCCTGGTCATTTTGAGTCTGATCCTTGTGTTCACTTAATCTGAGTATGGTTTTCATATCAATGAGATTCTTCCAGTGACTCGTCAGTAACTCTCAGGGATAGTGTCTTCGTGCATACTCAGGTTCTCACGTTTATGGACGATCAGAGATAGCGTGTTATGGTGGGAATATTTTAGTGGAATCAAGCAGACTTGTGTTCAACTCCCTACCCTGGACTTACTAGTATTTTAATGTTGGCAGCATCATATTGGTGGGAGTGAAAGGATGGATGGGCTCTGATCCTTGTCAGTGGACAGCCATACCTTACTTGACAGTCATGTCCCACACCACTTACGCTCTCCTTCACCTCCTGCTTCCCCTACTCTTCACATTCTTGGCCACTTGCTTCACTCTGGTCACTACCACTGCAAGGCATTCTGCCTGGACTCTGTTCTTCCTTACGGGGTCCATCAGCTTCATGTGAGATGAGCCAATGCCACCTTGCCCCATGTGGTGCTTTGGGCCCCTCATCTCCTATTGCTGCAGTTGCTGAAGACACTGTGCACCCATCAAGAGCAGGGCAGTTAACTCTGCATGTGCAGCGAACCTTGGATCAATGGGAGACAGCAGCTGGTAGATTACTTCTTCCCCCTTCCTCCTGCTGGGGGGCTGTTCGGACAGGCAGTTCTTCTGACGACCTCTGAGAAGACAGTCCTGCAAGATGGAGCAACTCGTCAGGATGAAACCAAGGAGTGGCCAGATGAGGTCCGCCCCCTCCTGTCTGTCCCTCCTCCTCCTCTGCCTCCTTCTCCAGCTCCTCTGGGCTGGCCACCCCTGAATTAAGTGGCAGCATATAGGCATTTGCTACAGGCTCTGCCTTTGAGGGAAGCCAGGGTAAGGACCCATCATATAAATGTGTTCGATAATGTCAGCCTCGCAACCTGGCTTCTATCTTGCTCTCTCCCAGGGCCCCCGAATTAATAAAAGAGAAGGCGGAAACTTGCTTCTTGAATGCTAAGATGCTTTAAAACCTTCACTGATTATGGTCAGATTTTCTTGTAATAGTCTTCCATTCTAGGAGCCTCAGAGGAACCGAATTTTGGTTTTGGCCATGCTACTTACAAACTATGTGACTTTGTTCAAGACGTTCAACCTTGTGAAGGCTCAGTCTACCCGAGAAGAGGAATTTCTGTGTGGCCGCCACTAGTTGTTTTTTTTTTTTTGGTGGGTCACTTAAATGAGCAATATGCAAGCTCTGTCTAAATGAGAGGCATTGCTGGTAACAGAAACAGCAACAATTATTTTGGGCTTAGCAGTGATGTGGCAGGGGAATATGGTGTGATGATTTTCAAGGTGTTGGAAGAAACTTCCTATTCCAAGCACCAGCAGCAGCTCTGAGAGCCGAGCAGGCTGGGCTGAGAACCCGAACCCCTGAGCTGTTGTTCCTGTCACCCCTAATTAATATGTGAGAGACAACAGCTGAGGTTTCTATGCCTAACACATTTATTTCATCTTATTTGGGGCCTGCACTTTCTGCATGTCTCATATATTTTAGGTTTTACCTGGCCTTAAAATAAATTCCTTGTAAGTTGTCCTGCAAATGAAATTACTGTCTGGAAAACTGCAATTTCATCTTGAGAGTTCTATTATGCTAATAAATGTCAGGATTCTCAAATAAAGGGATTGCCTTTTTTTTTTTCCCTGAGCCCTACAAATATAATGAAAAATAGTCAGTCAGCTACAAGACTCAGCAAAGAGAAAATTTACAGTCTACAACTAGAAAGAGAAGTTGTGAAAAACACTGTGCAAGTTAATGGAAGATAAATGTCACTGAACGGAAGGGTAACTTGGGGTCTCGATGAGGGAGGGCCCCGAGTGGCAGAGCCAGAGAGCTGGACACCTGGGGTGCCAGGGTCTAAGGGGCATAGGCTGCAAAGCGGCTTCTTGGGGTTAGGATGGAGCCCTGGACATGAAGATCTGGGCTCCTGGGGAGTGTGGCCCCCTTCTGTACCCTTGAACCCTTCATTAGCCTCAGGATAAATTTAGAGCCAGAAGGACTTTTGTTCTGTGACCCTAGGCAAGTGTCTCCAATTCTCTGGGCCACAGTTTCTTCTATGAAATGGGGTAAAACCATGCCTGTCTCAGACGGTGGCTGGGAAGTTGAACCATGTGGGGGTGCACTCGAAAATCCACATATAACTTTGGACTCCCCTCAAAACTTAACTACTAATGGCCTACTGTTGACAGAAGCCTTATGGATAACATGAACAGTCAATTAACACCTACTTTGTATGTTTTATGTACTACATACTGTATTCTTACAATAAGGTAAGTTAAAGAAAAGAAAATGTTATTAAGAAAATCATACTGAAGAGAAAATACATCTACAGTACTGTACCGTATTTATTGGAAAAAATCCATGCCTAAGTGGACCCGCGCAGTTCAAACCCAAATGTTGTTCAAGGGTCAACTGTCACATAATGTGAGATTTTGTAATCGTAGTGACAAATACTGTTTAAGCTGTGTGTATGTGGGTGTGTGTGTATGTCTAATTCTCGCAATCATGCCGAGGGAGACAAGACTATCCTCTCCACCTTGTGCATGGGGAAACTGAGGCACATGATAGAACTGGGATTCGCCAGTTTGGCTTTGGAGTCTGTGTAGACCTTGAACCAATGCTTCTCAAACAGGGCTGCACACATTAGACACAGAGGGGGTGTTCTTAAAATGCAGATTCTCCTTTAGTGGATCTGGGGTGGGGCTGGAGGTTCTGTATTTCTTTTCTTTTCTTTTTTTTAAAGACTTTATTTATTTATTTGACAGAGCGAGAGAGCACAAACAGGGGGAGCAGCAGAGGGAGAGGGAGAAGCAGACTCCCTTTTGAGCAGGGAGCCTGATGTGGGGCTCGATCCCAGGACCCTGAGATCATGCCCTGAACTGAAGGCAGACGTTTAACCATCTGAGCCACCCAGGCGCCCCGGAGGTCCTATATTTCTAACAAGCTCCCGGGTGCTGTCTCTGCTGCCTGCCTGTCTGCCACGCTTTGAGAAGCAAGCTTTGAAAGCAGGGTGAGGCAAACTACCTGCCGGCCAAATTTGGTCTGCTGCCCTGTGTTTCCACAGCCCGAGAGCCAAGAGTGGTTTTTCCATTTTCAACTGGTTGGAAAAAATTAAAAAGAAGAATAATATTTTATGACCTGTGAAAATTATATTTCATTCAAATTTCAGCACTCATAAAGAAAGTTTTATTGGAATATAGCCACGCTCATTTGTTGACACCGAGTCGTTGGCTGTGTAGGGCCTGCAAGAGCCTAAACTGTTTACTATCTGGCCCTTTACAGAAGAAGCTTGCTGACCCTGGTTTTAAATTACGTGCGTATGTTAGGAATTATTTTGCTGTCTTGCTCTGCTTGATCTAAATCTACTTAGGAGAGATTCTAACACCATATTTATACTTCAGAGAAGCCGAAGTGAATGTGTTACATTTCCGGTAGAATTCCCTTTTTAAATATGATACATCTCACCCCTTCTCAAGTGACCACAAAGGAGGCTTTTTTTTTTTTTGGTCAGAGGATTTTAACCAAATGTAAGCTGGTTCTATCACAGTTATATAGATACTTTATATGGGCACAGAGTCATTTGCTTTCTAGAATTTATCATGCTTCCTACACTTAACTGTGTATTTATCCGTTTTGCTCTTCAATCTATGCGGTCCTGGAGGTCCGACGATGCCGTATTTACTGGTGTGTTTTATCACGCGTGGAGCAGTGGATGTTGTTGAGTTGCGTTTGTTACAGATTAGGGACAAATGGACTTTGCTGGTTTCAAAGACCTGCTCTACCCCTTACAGGAGCCCTGCAGCCGAAAAGCCCAGGCTGAGCATTAGGGCTGCTTTGGGTTGGAGTCTCGACTCCTCTACTTTCAGTCGTTAAGAGGAACAAGCAAACAAACAAGCCAATGAGACTGCAGACGTCAGAGGGAGCTCTGCTACCAGCTAACGTGAGATGTGTGAGCTGAGAATTGAAACAGAAACCACATCTTGGCAAAGCTGTTCTATGACTCGCAAAACAGACACTGAGCTAAGCCATAGCAGGCACGAGAAACTGAGCTCAAACGCTTCTTGCCGGTTTGTGCAGACCCGTGTGTTCTCAGAGGACATCAGACGAGCTGGTCTGGCAGTAACTCTGCAGGACTGGGTTCTACTGTGGTAAAATATATGTCATAGAAAATTGACCATTTTAATGCAATTGTCACCATCTCCTGTTCACGGAACACTTCATCTTGCAAAACTAACACTCGGTACCCATTAAGCAAGAACTCCCGGGCGCCAGGGTGGCTCAGTCGTTAAGCGTCTGCCTTCGGCTCAGGTCAGGATCCCGGGGTCCTGGGATCGAGCCCCGCGTCGGGCTCCCTGCTCAGCGGGGAGCCTGCTTCTCCCTCTCCCACTCCCCCTGCCTGAGTTCCCTTTACTGCTGTGTCTCTCTCTGTCAAACAAATAAAACATTAAAAAAAAAAACAAACCAGCAAGACACAACACAGCTAGAATGTGCAGGGATGTGGTGAACCAAATGGATTGTGCTCCATCTAAAAGCATTCAAGGGCGCCTGGGTGGCTCAGTCGTTAAGCGTCTGCCTTCGGCTCAGGTCGTGATCCCGGGGTCCTGGGATCGAGTCCCGCATCGGGCTCCCTGCTCAGCGGGGAGCCTGCTTCTCCCTCTCCCACTCCCCCTGCCTGAGTTCCCTTTACTGCTGTGTCTCTCTCTGTTTTTTAAAATAAAATCTTAAAAAAAAAAAAAGAACTCCCCACTCTCCCCTCCCTCTGGCCCCTGGAAATCAGCATTCAGCTTTCTGTCTGTATTTATTTGATAACTCCTGGTAGCTTATTTAAGTGGAATCATTCCGTATTTGGCTTTTTGTCACGTAGCATGTTTTTTTAAGGTTCACCCAAGTGGTAGCATGTGTAAGAACTGTCTTTCTTTTTAAGGCTGAATAATATCCCCTTGTATGTGCATACCACATTTTCTTGATCCATGCGTCCATCAGTGGACATTGGGTCTGCTTCTGCCTTTTGGCTATTGCAAATAATCCCGCTATGAACATGGGTGTATGTCTGTATGATTTGTGTGCTCTGCAAGTCCCTAGTTTACAGATTCTGACCAATCCCTGCCAAAACCATTCCTGATCTCAATAAGTAATCTTGCTTAACTCCCACCTTATGAGATGTTCCACGATTCCTCTGGTATGTGCTTTCCCTCCTGCAACAAGCTAATAAACCTAACTTTGGTTACGTGTGTGTTCTGGGTGGCCTTTAGCAGGTGGGCTTTAGAAAGATGGTATCTGTAAAGCATGGGATCTATGATAAGCACTTAATAGAGCTGAATGTCTCCTCCCCCTTGACCACGCTGGGAGCGGCTGCGTAAGGCCCTCTCGTGAGTGGTATTATGTGCATTTACAGCCTCATCTCAGAGAATGAGCTCACGCCTGCCTGAGCTCTGAGGTCACCCCCTAGGAGACTGTGTAAAGCAGAGGATGGTGAGGTTGCAGGGCTAGAGGCAGACTCAGAAATGGTATGCTCTTTTGAAGGGAAATTTCTTGCCCCAGGGGCACCCAATGTCAGAGGCCCAGCAAAGTGACCCCCTCGAGAGAAGCTGGAGGAGAGGAGGCTTCAGGAGCCACCATGCTCTGTAGAATGGGGAGGCCAGCGGAGCCCCTCTCTGGTGAGCCATTAACCCATTTGCTAAGGGGCTTCTTCTCTCCCTGGATACCTCCCCTACTCTTCCCTCTCCTGCCCTGTGGGTAGGAGGAGATTGCAAAGTTTAGTGGGAAGAGTAATTCTTTGGTGTTATCAATGTAAATCTGAATTTAAATGGCAGAAGAAGAACAGAAGGGGCTGCCGCAAAGAGGAAACAAGGGGCATCAGCAAAGGTAGAGAGGCAGGAAGATGCCTAAGTGTCTGTGCGTGTGTGTGTGAGGTTAAAAGCCTTAAATATGATCCATAGAGGTCGTTCAGACCCAGACCTTGGCTGTGTGTGTTTGTGTGTGAATGAAGAAGTCCTGATAGGCGCTCTTCAGCATCCTATCCTCCACCCCTCCTTTATCATACAAACTAAACACTTGCACAACCAAGTTCCTTACAAGGGACACATTCTGCCCAGATTCTCAGCCACCAGCCAAGCGCCTTGGACACTTCTGCAAGCCTATGGGGCAACAGATGTTTGTACCTCTAACTTGGGTGTTGACCAAAAATTCAGCATAGACCTTCCTTAAATCTGTCTTCCTGAATCTGTTCATCAATATTGCATATTGTTGACTACCTTTCATGTCCTCTGCTAGCATGTCTCTGGGTAATTTCTCATTTATTCTCACGTCTTCATCGAGTTTTGGTGGGTTTTTCCATTGGGCTTCTTCTGATTGGCTGAGATGACTGACCTTCGTGAAGGTCCTTTTTTTCCCCCGGGGCAGCTGCTGGGCAATTTGATGAGAGGAGGGACCCACCCCCTTATATGTGGTGTGGGTATTCTTTACAGTGTCATATTTCTACTGGTTGTCGGTTGTTGAACACAACTACAGAAAGTTCTTTGGGGTAATCAAGCCTCTCCCCTCATCTCCAGTT